CTTCTGAGGTGTTACTTGGACAAAAACAAGTGATTTTAAGATTATTTTTTATTGTTTCTAACATTCTAGAGACGACTGAATTAGAAAGAAACACGTTTTTGTCACATCCCTCTTTTTATTTTCCTTCATGAGCGTTTTCAGCTACAATTGTTGGCTCCAGCTTTCTCATATGTGACTTTTTCACCTTTAAATTACTGTAAATTAGTTATATGTAACTTCTGAGATATTAGTTGGACAAAAACAAGTGGTTTTAAGATTTTTTTTTTCATATTTTTAACATTTTAGATGCTGAATAATTGAAGCGAAACACATTTGACTTGCAACTCTCAGTTTATTTTACTGCACATGAGCATTTTTGGCTCCTTGTTCTGTCTCTAGCCTTCTTATTTGTGACTTTTATCTGCTTTTATCAGTTTTGAATGACTGTAAATTAGTTATATTTAACTTTCAAGGTGTTCGTTGGACAAAAACAAGTAATGTCAAGACTACTTTTACATTTTTCTAGCCTGAATAATTAAAAAGAAACACATTTTAGTCACATCCTTTAGGTTATTTTACTGCACATGAGCGTTTTCAGCTACTTTTTCTGGTTCCAGCTTTCTCATATGTGACTTTTAGCTGCTTTTTTCTGTTTTACGTGACTTTAAATTGAATATATTTGACTTCTGAGTTTTTCGTTGGACAAAAACAATTGATTTGACGACTATTTTTTAATATTTCTAACGTTTTCGAGACCTGTTAACTAGAAAGAAGCTGATTTTAGTCACCACACTCTGAGCGTTTCCAGCGACACAGATGATCTAAACCTGATCTCAGGATGAAGTTCCTCCTGCTTCATCAGCCTTCGTCACATCAAATCAAAACTTGCTCACAAAGGATTCCTTTCAGCTGTTTCTGCGTTACTCTGAATGATGTCATGTTCAGGTTCATTCTAGTTGTAGGTGCTGCGTTGGAGGGGCTCTCCTCTGTGATCTGCTGGTTTCCTATCAGCTGCTCACTCTGATCTGTAGCTCTTTTCATTCTGGGGTTTCCCTCAACACACAACCGCCCGGCTCTAACGTCTCACCGTCGATCGGCGGTTTCATCTCACCCTCTGGTTTTCCCATCAGTGACACCACAGAGGAAAAGGAAACAGTAGATTTTTTGAGAAACTGCATCTTAAGTAGAGTGTTTTCTGCAGATTTGTGAACAGCGTGCGGAGCTGAGGAACTGTTTTCTGTTTGGTTGTGCACTCTGGGGCCATGTTTTCATCCTACACTTCAACTTTAAACCTTTTGTTTTCATTTTTGTAAGTTTGCATTCACATATTTCACCATTTCTGCTGCATTTCTTCAATAATCTGCCGTCTGTATCTGTTTTTTCTTATTAATATTTTTGACGTCTAATTGTTGTTTTTTTAACTTTCTGTATTTTATTGTTCATTTTCTTTTCTTTTAATCTTTATTTATATACTCACTTGTGTATTTATTGTACTTATTTACTTCTATTATTATCATTTTGAGCCTCGTGTTTATGGTTTTACCCTCCATTTTTATTAATAATAATAATAATTGATTAGATTTATATAGCGCTTTTCTAGACACTCAGACGCTTTGCACTGTCAATTATTCATTCCGGTGGTGGTAGCTATGGTTGTAGCCACAGCTGCCCTGGGGCAGACTGACCGAGGCCTGGCTGCCATTCTGCCCCTCCGACCACCACCTCAACAATCCATTCATTTGCATTCACACCAGGCAAGGTGGGTGAAGTGTCTTGCCCAAGGACACAACGACCATGACACGGGGCAGAATCGAACCGCCGACCTTCTCTACCACCTGAGCCACAGCCGCCTGCTTTTGTTCTACTTGTTGCCTTCATTTCTTTATTTTATCTGCTGTAATTTATTCTGAGAATCTTTGACCACGTTTGGCCTCCTGAGTTTGTTCTTTTCTTTTTCTTGTCCTGTCAGTAAAACACTTTGTGAACTCATTGTTTTGGTTTTAATGTTCAAACTTTCTGCTTCAGTGTTCGACCGTGGCTGTAAGGAAACGTGTCCTCGTGCTGTCAGCCGGATTCTCTTTGCCTCCGTTTCACTTTCCAAACAATCTCCGTGTTCGTCGTCGGCTGCGACGCGTTGCCTTCCTCCTCGGGGACGTCTGCACTGCAGCTGCTCTGCTTGTCAGTGAAGAGAATGTGAGCAGCACAGGAATGTTTGTTTTTTCTGACTTCTAGTGAAACGACTGAATGAAACTGACTTTCTTCCATAGAAATCTACGAGGCAGCTCCCCCGGCTCAGGCTTATCTGCCTGCAGTGTTTCCTGTGTAGCAGAGCGGCTGCCAGGACCATCAGCACAGGCCCTCATGGCTTCCATTAGCCAGCAGCCTGCTCCTCCACCTCCAGCTCGTACCGTTAAACATTTACGGCGCCGCTCGGGAATCTGCGTTGACCGTGAATCATATTTGTGCTTTAGGTTGAGCTGTAGTCTGGCAGCTCCGCAGACGTGATGAACGTGTTTGTTCTGGTGCCGGATAACGTCTGGTGACCTGTGCCCTGATTTGCTCAGACAGCTGAGAGAGAAGCGCCGCGTGACCACCAAATATTACGGATTCATTTGTCGATGTGTCGCTGGAATCACAGGAAATAGAGTCTGAGAGGAAGACGAGCAGTGGGTGTTGTTGTCAGCAGCATGCATGTGGTTAGTTAGAGCCTCACATGGATGAAGGGAGATGAAGTGCTGCTGTTTATTAGTTAAACCTGATTTAATCATCTAATGCTGACATCACGCTTCATGTGAGAACTTTGAGATCAAGTTATAGAATGAAGTTTGTGATTTTTCAGCCTAAATAATACGATAAATTAATCTTGTCCAGCAATCCGGTTCCGTATAATAAATTGTGTTTATGATGAACAGGTCACGCCTCCTTTAAACATGAAAGAAAAAATGCATTTGGTTGAAATACGCAGAGTTTTCTCACCTGTAGTGTAAATAAATATAATATATAGAGCAGACAGTAGCCTGAGTTCATAGTACCTTCAGACTGACAGCCACACCTGTTATATATATATTTATATTTATGTTTATGTACATATCTTCGGGGATGACAGTGTCCCCATTCACAGGGCATGAGGGGTCCCTGAACAGTTGTGTTCATGCTTTACTCGGACCAGATCTCAGCCAACATGTTGGACAGAGCTCTGCACCAAAAAACAACAAAGGGGGGAATATCTCCAGAGTGAATGATCTTCATCCCTCCAGCAGAGCTCCACAGACTTTGGGAATCAATCAAGACACATTGAAGCTGTTATAGTGGCAGGTGGTAGTACTAGGATGTGTTATTATGGCTTTTCCTTTAATTTGTCACCCATCTCTGGGAGGCCTGGGAGTTTTTAGTGTTTGTTTGTTTGTTTTGCAGTATCTTAGTTTTTTCCTCCTTCCTGATGTTACTGTCAGCTGGTGTTGGAGGTTTGCCACATTTACCACAACTTCCCTGTTCTGCTCCTGGTTGGATGACCACCAGTACGTCTGGCTGGTCCACACACAGCTGCTTGTCAATCTGAACTTATTTATTTATTTTTAGATATAATATTTTTTGAGATTTTAAAATCCATCCATCATCTATACACCGCTTAATCCTCACCAGGGTCATGGGGGGCTGGAGTCTATCCCAGCTGACTTAGAGCAAAGGCAGGTTCACCTGGACAGGTCGCCAGTCCATCGCAGGGCTACACTTAGAGACAGACAACCAAGCACACTCGCATTCACACCTACGGACAATTTAGAATCACCAATTAACCTCAACATGTTTTTGGACTTGTGGGAGGAAGCCGGAGAACCCGGAGAGAACCCACGCTGCACGGGGAGAACATGGAGACTCCACGCAGAAAGATTCCGGTGCCTCCACCGGGACGCGAACCGACGACCTTCTAGCTGCGAGGCAACTACCAACTGCACCACCCTGCAGCCCAGATTTTAAAATATATATAAAAAAATAATATTATAATACTATATATTGTGGTATAAGGGAATTAGTTGTTTTTTAAAATTATTTTATTTAAAAAAAAATATATATAGATAATATTCATGTATTACAATATAGATGCACACATAAACTATAGAATTGCACAGCAAGCATTTAAAAAATTCCTTCAAAAAAATATTTTAAACCAGAAAAAAAGTAAAGCTTGTCAGTCTGAATTGAGGAAATTAATATCATTAATTAGATATTAATTGATTCATTTAAAAAAATGTATATGTATAATTAATATTGGGATATATATATAGTGTCATTATTTTTATATACTTATGTATTAAAATAAAATAGAAATAAAAAATTGCATATCAGAATTTAATTTTTTATATTATGAAATATAAAATAAGTTATATATAATTTTTCATTTGTTCCATTTTAGACTTTGACTTGTTAAGTGGTGCCTGAATTTGGTGTTTTTATTTAATGTGAATAAATATATTTCAACAATAAGTTGAAGCAGGAAAGAAGAAACTGGCGCCAAACTGCTGAAAATGAAGTATTTTACGCCTTAATTTTTTAATTTTTTTTATTTATTGTAAATAAATACATGTGAGAGCAGACTTTGGTGTGAGATAAGCGGACGGAGACTTCAGTCCGCTGCCTGGAGACCGTCCTGGTTACCTGGCAACGCAAAAACCTCGTCGACCAATCAGAGGCTCCGCTCGGCGCATTGGTACAAACAAACTGGACAACTGTACGACTCTGTGATCTGCCGATAATGAGCGCTGGACTTTCAGGTAAACACGCAAACTTCTCCCTTTAACTACACAACGATGTATTGTTGTCTTCGTGCTTTTAAACGGGAACTCCACGCCGGAAACACGGGGGGACTGCTTCGTGTCGGCGGAGCATCGCTCCCCGTGGGTGGTGCTCCGGCTGTATAAAACAGGCGTGTCCGCGGAGGACGGTGTGGTTCAGACGCTGACTAACGCGGTGCATGTGTGTCTCCCTCGGGCTGTGGATTATGTGGAGGTGTGTGCGCAACTTGCCAAGTTAACATCTTTTTTTTCTTTTCTTTTTTTTCCCCGGACTTTGAATTCTCGCAGAGCACCATTTTGGAAACGTATGTACCGTTTTTATTACTCACTCATCTGCTGGGTTTGTAGTTAGCTAAACTGTTGTGTGTTGCTAAATTAAAAAAAAAAAAAAAAGTTTACACAGCTGTAGCCACGATTTTAAAACGTGACACCGGTTGGGGAATGTCATTGTAAATAACAGACTAAGGTCGGATGCTGTTGAGACTGTTCTAACTCACGTATTTGCTCAATTGAGAGGAATTAATCGCCATATGGATCGACTGAGCCAGCCGTATCTAACGGTACCAGTTTTAAATTGTTCGCAGTTAGCGCTAACTTACTTGACGCACTCGTCCGGAGGGTAAATTAGCAAATCAGCTGGAACAAATGATTGCCGGTGAAGTTTAGGGGACGTGTGTGGTGCGGTGAAGCCGAGGAAGGGGGGTCGTCGCCCCGGCTTTTTGACCCCCGGGACGAGCGTCGGTGTCGGGCCACTTCAAGCTAGCTCCTCGCGCTGCTGCTCGTCTCTCAGCGGTTCTGGAATGACAAGCCGGGCTCGCGCCGTGAGCGGTTCTGGAAGGCTCACGCGCGCCGTGCCGGATCACGTGACGCCGCTGCTGTTTTTACCTTTACAGAGTTTTTAATTTTATCACATTTATTTGCGGTTTTATTGACTTTTTTTTTTTTTTTTTTTTTAATACAACAATTAAACCGGATCCTTAATTCTGAAGGTTTTATGTTTTATTGTGAAAGGACAAATGAGCTAAACGTGTCTGATGTGTAGATTTTGCTTGTTTGGTGTCACGTTTTAACCCTCTGAACCCCGGGCAGCAGCAGCTTCTGGGTGTTTGTTATTTTGCTCCTGTCACATCTCTCGTCACTGTGGCCTCTCAGTGGAAACCACACAAACATGGCTGGAAGTAGAGAGAACTCAGAAAAAAAGTGACAAACAGGTGCCCACGTGTGTTGTCAGTACTGAGGGGGAGCGAGCAGGTGACTCCTCAACCTGTAGGTGTTTTTCCTTTGCCATACTTGCCTCCTCTGTGCTCTGTGTGAACACAGCCTGCAGTTCAGCACAACAGTCATTTGACTGGTGGTCAGAGGTTGAACCGGATCAGGTTGGAGCAAAATCAGAACTTTGAGCTTGAATTTTGCTGCGTTTCCTGATAGAACAAATGAGTAGTTCAAGGATGGTTGTAATGTTCAAATCTGGCTGTTCTTGCTCTGATAAATGGTGGAATTGTTCTTTTTCAGTTAAGATAACCTGCATTTCAAATCTGCCACCAGATTTGGGTTTCAGACCCAATTGAGTAAAACATGTAGAATCAAGAGAGTTTGATGAAATATCCCGATTGTAAGCTGGGATTTTGTTAAGTTTCCTGATGGACCAGCACGCCACAGATGTCAAGGACCGCCACAGTGTTAACTATCAGACAACTCTGGGTCGTTTTCTCTTTAGTTCTTTTATGACAACACACCTTCTAAACCTGCCACCAGGTCTGGGCTTTAGACTGCACAGCAAAGGCTTTGTTTTTGGAAGATTTTTTTAAAGTGATACATGTAGAGATTTTTAAGTTGAGATATTTATTTTATATTTACTCACAGAACAACAGATGTGTTCAAAGGTGACTGTAATGTTGAAAACTATTCTGTCTGTTATATTTATTTCAGTGTTAACGTGCCTGTCAAACCCAGCACCAGGTTTGGGATTCAGAGGGTTAAAACAGTCAAATTGGTCAATTTGTTTTTGCTTTGTGTCACATTTAAAAGCCACCTCTAACATTTTTTTTCTGTCCTGCCATCCTAGTTGATCTGAACTTGAGACGATGGATAACCGGGAGGAATCAAAGAGTTGCTCTGTCAGCGTTCTGACCTGGGAGCAGGTGAGCCGGCTGGATGAAGTTCTCACCGAGGTGGTGCCTGTTCACGGCCGGGGGAACTTCCCCACCTTAGAGGTGCAGCTGAACGACATTGTGGCGCGAGTTCGCTCAAGACTGGAGCTGAGCGGCATCCGAGTGAAGGACGTCCGGCTCAACGGCTCCACGGCCAGCCACGTGCTGGTGCAGGATATCGGCTGGAGCTACAAGGATCTGGACGTCATCTTCAGGGTCGACCTGCCGCACGAGGCAGAGTTCAGGCTCATTAAGGACGTGGTGCTGGGTACCCTGCTGGACTTTCTGCCCGAGGGTGTGAACAAAGAGAAAATCACACCCATGACTCTCAAGGAGGCGTATGTCCAGAAGCTGGTCAAGGTGAACACGGAGCAGGACCGCTGGAGCCTCATCTCCCTGTCCAACAATAACGGCCGCAACGTGGAGCTCAAGTTTGTGGACTCGATACGTCGCCAGTTTGAGTTCAGTGTGGACTCCTTTCAGATCGTGCTGGACTCCATGCTTTCCTACTACGAGCTGGCTCAGACGCCCATGTCTCAGGCCTTCCACCCCACCGTCAGCGGGGAGAGCATGTACGGGGACTTCAGCACGGCGCTGAGCCACCTGCGGAACAAGCTCATCGCCACCAAGCGGCCCGAGGAGATCCGAGGCGGCGGCCTGCTGAAGTACTGCAACCTGCTGGTGCGGGACTTCCGGCCGGCCAGCCAGGAGGAGTTCAAGGGCCTGGAGCGGTACATGTGCTCGCGCTTCTTCATTGACTTTCCTGACATCGGAGAGCAGCAGCGGAAGGTGGAGGCCTACCTCCAGAGCCACTTTATCGGCGAGGAGAAGAGCAAGTACGAATACCTCATGATCCTGAAGCGAGTGGTCAACGAGAGCACGGTGTGCCTCATGGGCCACGAGCGGCGGCAGACCCTCCACCTCCTCTCAGCGATGGCCTTCCGAGTCTTCGCGGAGCAGAGCGCCATCCCCGACGCCTCCTGCGTCACCTGCTACTATCAGCCGGCGCCTTACGTCCGAGACCACAACTTCAGCAACTACTATGTGGCAAACCAGAACATTCCAACATGGCTGCCATGTAACTGACACGACAGACACGTGGAAGGATGTGCAAGAGGGCATCGCTGCTGCTGTTTGAGAAGAGAGAAGGAATAAATGGAAAAAAAAGAAAAAAGAAAAAAAAAACATTCAACATAGAGGCAATAAATGCTATGTTCCTCTCAAGGCACAATTATTTAAGTGGACAAGTGTTTTGCTTTTGTTTTTTGGAATCCTTTCTCATTCCTTATCTACAGAGGTGTCTAGGTCATTGGATAGAAAGTGACATTTTTAAGTGTTATTTAGATTTATTTTCCCTCATGTTTGGTTGTTTCCCTGTTTATCAACCTTATTCTTAATGGAGTTGTGTTATGTGCCTTACCCTCCAGGTTTACCCCTCCAATACTTTAAGTATGGGCTATTTTTTGAAGAAAGGGAAGAAGAAATGCTATAGCCTGAAATTTGGTTTTCTTGTTGATTAAAAAAACAAAAAAAAATGTGAATCACAGAGAAAAAAAAAAAAACAAAACTGAAAATGTTGAAAAATATTATTGTGAACGGGGTAAAATAAAAGGTGACGGCCGAAAAAAAAAAAAGAGAAAAAAAGCTGATCACCGGTGTTAAAAGTTTACTGAGGAGGGAAAAAGGTGGTACACTAATAACCTTTGGTCACATCAGAGATGGCTGGGCAGCGAGAGCGTCAACTTGTTCTCAGTTTGACATGTAAATATCTCTCATCCACGTCGGAGCTGTCCCTCATGTGCCAGCAGTGCCTGTGACTTGTAAACAATGCAAGAGAAAATGTGTATTTTTTTATTTTCCACTGTGAATTTCAGCGTTGGGACGAGTCCCCTCCTCCCAGCTGATCCAGTTTTCTCAGCCCTGAGTGGAAATCTGCCGTCAGACGCTCTGATCGATGAGCTTCTGTGTGTGTGTTTTGAGGAGTTTTAGCTTCCTCCCTGTTTTTTAAGTCGCTTCCAGAAGCCTCAGCGGTGACCTCCACACGTCACGCCTCTTTGGTTTTTGCGGGAGGCTGACTGACAGGGCGGCGTGGACGGCGGCCTGCTGAGGGAATGTGCCTGCCCCTCGCCGCCTGGCCGGGAGTCCTGGAGGCCGACTGGCTGCCTCTTCCCTTAAAAGGAGCAGCACATGGAGGCCCGCCGGGTTCTCCCTCACCACCATCGCAGGCTCGAAAGCAGCCCTGAAATGGGATCTCGCTCCGACTCTGCTCAGCGACTGGCTCTGGAGCTGCAGCCGTCTATAATTATCGTCTTTTTCCTGGGGGGAGGTACCTTTGGGAGCAGGGAGCTGGTGCATGACCTGCAGCGACTGGCCGCCACCGTACATGTGTGTGAGCTGAGTCACGTCCTGTCCTCTCCTATCCGCTGCCTGCTGAGACCACGTAGTGTTTGAACCCCTTTTGTGGTCATGGAAGGACAGACGACATGTCTGCCAGCGGGACAGCACTCCCCTCTCCCACTTGATTAATGTGGAAGCTACGAGCAGCCTCAGCTGTGGCGGAGTTGCCCCGATGAGTTTTCTATTCCTAGCTGAGCCTATTATTAGCTGTTAATTTTGAACACTTGCAGTGCAGCTTTGCCAGCAGATGGCCGGAGCTGATTCTGCTCGAGGCCGTCGACTCCCCTCGTCCCTTTCATTCAGGTTTGAGAGAAACTTGTTATGTAAGCGGCCGCTCCCGTCACGCCCCTCGGTTCCTCGGAAGCCTAATTCGGGCTCCCTGCTCGTCTCGCCGAGGCTCGTGTTAGCTCCAGATAACCGGCGGCGCCTCTTATCAGGCCGAGCCACGGCGCAGGGCTGGTCAGTGGAGGAGCACCGGCTCACATCTGGGGTTCAGGGCGGGTCGCCTTGGTTCGGCTGCTCAGCTTCTCTACTCAAGCTGCCGTAGTGTTTTGTTTTAACAACAGGTGAGGCGTCGCACGGCGTCTCACTCTGGACCAAAGTCTGCTCTACAACCAGCAACCCAAGCATTCAAGTGCCTGTCACTTTTCTCTTCTTTTTTTCTTTTTTCTTTTTGGAGAGTTTATCTTTTTAAAGGGGTTTTTAATGGTGATCAGGAGGGAAAGGTTTAGCAAAGTGTTTGTTTTTTTCTCTTCAGCTTCTCTAAACCCTGTGAAAGTTCAATACCAGACTATCAGATTCTGCTTTATGGGTGAATGCATACATGTTTGTGGTTGGGGAGGAGTATCATTTTGAGTTTTTATTTTAGTTTTGTTTTAATATTTTGCTCCCCCTTTTTTTTTTTTTTTTCTCGTTTCAGTCCCAAACTTTTCCTTTAAACCCACCCAGTCATTCCTGTTACAGCCGTTTCATTTTACCTTCTTTGTTTAGTTTTTTCTATACTCACTCCCTGAACTGTGTGCAGCTTCACCGTAAGCAGCCGGGTTAGAATGACTCCTCCTGTCCCCCGTTCAAACCAAAGCAACACCTGAAGTGCACTGAGGAGCCGCGGTGAGGCTCGGTAGCTGGAGCTCCACCGGCGGAGACCCCAAACCAACAGAAGCACTTTAGAGAGGCCTTGTTTTACTCCAAACCCAGCCACCCGAGACGGATGTACATAAGCTAATGTGGTCAACTTGCTGGAGGGAGTCGAGCTGGTTCTCAGGGACATGAAGTGTTTTTGAGGACGATGGTTTTTTTTTTTTTTTCCCCCCTTTTGTTTTTTTTATTTGAGTGACTCTGAGATGCCCACTCCTACTCGCCTTGGTTTAGTGTCTTCTCTCTGTGTTAGCGCCCCTCCTACAGCTCCTCACCAGATGAGCAGCCTGGAGGTGGAGGCAGGCGGCAGACTTCATCTTGCTTCGCCCCGACGGCAGCGCGACAGCTTTTTATCTGTGCATCCACTTCCTCCCAAAGCTCATCATGACTCGGCCCCCTCCTCTGCCTTCACCACGACACTCCTCACCCCGAGGTGTAACCAGTCTCATCCATCATCCCCCCCCCACCACCCCGTGTCTTTATCCACTCCGAGTGATGATGAATCGGAGAAACTCGGTCGCGCTGCAAGTTGAAGTCTGCCGTTCGGATTGTTCTCTTCTCGGGCTTCTTGTTGACGTCGCTCGCTGGCGGCGGCGGCGTCAAAGAAAACGCGGCGAGTCGTGTTTTCTCGACACCTGATTGGTGGACGCAGCCTGGAATGTATAAACCCTGTGTTTACGGTTATTGTGGCTTTTTTGTTTTTCCGATGAAAGCTTTACCTTCCTCGTTAGTTCCCCCTTTAGTCGAGTGCAGCAGGACTCGAGCCGAACCCCTTCCTTCGTCAGGGTTTATGTGTGTATGTATGTATGTTGAGCTCTTTGTGAGTGAGGATAAAACGATGAAGAGGATGAAAGGTTGTTGTTTTTTTTGTTTTAATTTTCTGCCCTCCACCTTTTCTTTCTGCTGTAAACGTGTCAGTGTTACTCTCTCACTCAGCTCAGCTTCAGTCGCCTCGCTCGTCGGGCCCTTGTCCATTAGTGCAGCGTGTTTCTTTCCCTCTACGACACCTGTAGACGTATATCTCAGCAGAGTGGGTGCAGAGAAATCTGCGGATTAGATATTTAGCGATTTCTGCTTGTCTGAAGTACAAGTCTTACGCCATAGGAATGTGACGGAGCTCCTCTGGAAGCTCTCCTGCACTTTCTATATGAAGAGTTGTGAATTTTCTTTTCTTTTTTTTTTTCTTTTTTAAATTTTGCAGCAGATTTGTGTTTACGTTCATGCGTGGAGGTTTGCATGTGTGTATGAAGGGATGATTGTGGCAACACAAAGTTTAAAAACAAACAAAAAACAGCGCAGTGGGAGGGGGGGTAAAAAAATGAAATTTGTCGCACTATATTTTTTTGAAATAGGTAATGCAAAAGAGCTTCTTGTCGGCTTTGTGATCGTGACGATGACTTTTGATGGTTACAACCATTATGCTATTTCATTTTTCAGCACTTTTACCTCACTTGAGTTTTTCCTTTGAACGGAAATGTACGTGTACATCAGGAAAATGTGTTTGAAGAGGAAATAATCAATAAAGAGTATTAAATGCAGCCTGCTTGCTTTAGTTGTTTTTACTGGAATCTCACACGTCATGTTGTGTCTCATAAACCTGGGATTAGGAGGAAATTATGTGTGAAAATGTTTGACTAACTTGAAAAAAACTGAATCTCAGCGTCTGGCAACGTAAAATTCTGCTGATGTGAATCTTAAAAGCCGGATTAGAAAGTTGGATAAAAAGTATTGATCTGAATCTAAATGTCTGTTTTATGTCAGAACCACTGAGCTAAACCTGATGAGTAGGTTTATATCTTGAACCTTATTCCTCTGCTTTAAAGCAATGAAACAGGAAAGTAGGATAAAGCAGTGGAAATAATTCTGGTTAAATCAAAACTAAATGAGCAAATAACCGAGAACTGGAGCTTCTGTGACTTATTAAACCTCTTATGTGAGACTCAAAGGGTGCAGTCCTATTATTTCTACTTTATTCCACATGCTTAATGTTAAATAAATCGTTAAAAATGTACCATTTCATGTATCAGGATTTGGTAAATAATAAATAATTCTGGGCTTCTTGGTGCAACCGTGAATCCGTTTGTGACTCAACTGCAGCCAACAGTCGCGTTACAAAAATTCTGTGATTTTTTTTCTGGCTGAGCTGCGGCGAGTTTATCAGCCGGGACACGAACATGAAAACAAACTCAGAATGTGAGTCGTAAAATACCTGCAGCATGTGGAGCCGGCGTTACTGTGTGGACTGGTGGCTTGTTGGACACGTTGGTTCTGTTTCTATTTGTATTTTTTTGTAACATAAGTAATCAAAGACACTTTATGGTGTCACATCGTTACTACGATGCACAAAAGACTAAATCTCATTTTTTTTAAAAATGTACCAAAAGTAAAGCATTCGCTCCGACAACATTCTGTAAAAAACCTACGTTTCTGTGATAATCTTTGCAGCCGTCGAGCCATAAATGACTCCCCTAGAGCCAACAGCGACTGTCACCAGTTTCTATCCAGTACCGGTAACACATGTGAGCTTATTTCTCTCCGTCTTCATGGTTGTGTTGTTTTTATTCAGGTGCAGCATTTTATTAACGCAGTAAAAAATAAACCTACAAGGAGCAAAAACAATGTGACGGTAGCAAGAAATGAATGCCCAGAAACTGCTCTGGGTTCAGAGGCTTAAAAAATGAAACCAAAAAAACCCCAATTCTTCTCCTGAATGTGCTGCTGAGGTGAGAACGGAGGTGAAGTCAGTTTGCTGCTCACAGCTTGAATGAGGCTCCATTTAAAACACCGTCAGAAAGACCTGCTTTCAGTTTCTTTGTTGCCGTTTTATGAGAATAATCCAATAATTAGATGCGTTTTAGGCGCTATTAGTAAAGTGCAGGTGTTTTATAAATAATAATAGTACATAATGTTTATGCAGCG